GGTGCTAGATCGACGCTAATCCACGATAGCCGACGCTAATTCGGCGCTGCCGCGTCGACTCCCAGACACTGATCGACGCTAGTCGACGCTAAAGACATCATTGAAAAGGCAAACCAGGCCCCCACGACTCGCTGCCGAACGTGGGCGAGCAGCACTGGCTGACACTTCACCTGTCGCCTGGCAGGACCCCCTGCTGGATTCCAGAGATGCCTGTTCGCGCCAACAACGTTAACGTCGGAGCCAGGGTCACATGGCAAGGATGTCCTGCCGTCGGACAGCCTGTTGCGTCGGGGCTGCCGAGCAAGCGAATGGATGTCAGCGCGCTCTCCGCCCTCACGCCCTGACGCAGGCGTGCCTGCATGCGTGCTGCCGCGCCGTCGCACATGGATGGGGCACGCCGGCAGGCTCATCATCATGGTCGACGGATCCCACCTAGCCCACCACTGCTGCACCTCTTCCTCCGCAATGGGCACTGTAGTGAAACTGTCCCAGGGCTCTTCAGGCATCGTTAACGGAGCGCGATGGTCGCTCTGATATCATCAGCGCCGTCGCCCCATCTGCAGCCTGCGCCTGGGACCTCGCTCAACAAGGACTCTTCGCGCGGTTCGTCACCGAGCTTGCGGGGCGGGCGTCGTCTTCGGGCCTTCCCGCCCGAGCCCGTTGCCCGGCGAACCTCTTCGCTCGCGATAACTTGCTGCGCAGGCGCGGCGGCCTGCGTTGATCGGACTCTCTGGCACTTCCGGGGGAGCTCCCTGGGCTGACTGCGCAGTCGGCAGCGGCGCCAACGCTGGGTTGTTATGCGCACCCATCTGTGGAGAGGCGCTCGTTGCCGACCTGCGCGCTGCGGCGCGGCCGTCATTTGCGCCGCCTCGGCCCGCGGCGCTCTCAGCTCAGCGCTGGGCGCACTGGCGCTGCGCGCCTCACCGCGGCGGCCCATTAGAGCCGAGCTGCGTCCTGCATGCCCGCGGACCGCAATTGCGATGATTGGCCGACGGCAAATAGCGCAAGTCGGTTGCACGAATGTCCACCCGCCGTCTGCGGACGCGCGCCCTTCCCATTTTGCGCCAGCATGGTCCACAGAACTGGCGGTTGTACTGGGGACGCCTGACTTCGGCGCCCTGGTTGAATGCATCCACGCACATGGCGCGCAGCAAAAAGTTGGCATCAAAGATGACGAATGGGGCCGTCATCGTCGGGCGCGTCCGCCCATGCCTCTCATGAACCGTTTCATTCGGTTGGAAATCTGGTGGCGGCGGCGATCGCGCCTGCGCCGTGCCCGACACCCTTGGGCCCCGCGCCCCCGTTGGCGCGTTGCCGCGCCGGTGGTTCTCCCATCGCCCACGGGAGCTGCGGCTGCCTGACCTCCTCGCGTCTCCTCAATGTCGCGCGCGGCGCGCGGTGGATGTCAACGATGCGCTGAAGAACGCGCGGGGGGGCCGCCCCTGGGCGGCGGCTGGGCTCTTGGGCACGTGCGTCGTCATTGGCCGGCATCGGTTGAAATGCCGCGCGCGGCAATGCACCCCGGTCCGCGACGCGCAATTGGCACCGGCCGATGAATCTCCTCTGTCACGCAGCGAGCGCAGGAGGTGCTCACGGCTGCATTGCGCCGCGGCCTGCCGCCCGCGACGCGTTGGAACTCGGGGGACATTGGCGTGCCCATTGGCGCTGGAAGTGGCCCCCGCCGCGTCTGGAGTGCTGGTGCACATGGGATCCAGTCTCGTGCGTCCGGCGATGAATCCCCGCCGGGTGCCCAGTCCCACGGAGGCCCCAGGCGACGCCGTTGCGCGCCTTCAATGCCAATGCCTGAAGCTCTTCCGCGATGCGACGCCACTGTTGTTCAATGAACCATCTCTGGGCGCCCGCAGCACGCTGCCGCGCGCCGCCGTCGCCGCGTTGGCAGCCCTTGCAGCGGCCCTTCGGGGGCGGCCGATTAGGGCGCTGCTCGCGGCTCGGGGGCGGCCGATCACGAGGCTCAGCCTCCATGGCCCGCTGGACCTGTGAAAGACGTGGTGAGCCGAAGTCGATGGTCTGTCGCAGCGCTGCCTTGAGCTCCAGCCGTTGCCGCGCGGTCTCCGCCATGCGCGATATCTCGGCGGCCGAGGAATCTGGGGCCTCCGACGGTGGCGCGCCGAATGGCGTCGCGGCAGGCGTTGCAGCATTGCTCGGAGCGCCGAGCTCCACTGGCGTGAACCTCGCGTTGCCGACGCGGGCCGGCAAGCGCCGAGCCCGCGCGTTGCCGCGCCGGGAAGCAGCGGCCGTCAGCGCCGCTGCTGTAGCCAAGATACCGCGCTGCTGAAACAGATCCACCACGCGAGTGCGATCCTCTGGCGCGAGCGCGGCGACGTCGGCCAGCACAGGCATAGCCCCCGACCGCTCAGACTGCCCGTCGTCAAGCTCCCGCAGGCCCCCCTGCCGGCGGGCGCCCATCATCTGGACGATCTCTGTCGGCGCCTTAGGCGCTGGCGCCCAAGGATCCTTGATGCCAACCTTCTCCACCGGTTTGACTGCGCCGCCCACGTCAAAGCCACACGGGTACTTGCGGGTAGTCCAGTTCTCAGGATCCTTGAGCTGCGTCAGCGCAATCCAAGCATGTTACGTCGACGGATCCGAAGATTGGGTCGCGTCGAATCCCGCCCTGGAAATGCCCCGACAAGCATGTAATGTGATATACACGTCGGGTTACGCACGACCTTATTAGCATGTTTGTCTGGCCTCCAGAAACAGTAGCTATCCGTCAATAGCTCTGGGCTCGATACGAACGCTCCGATTTTCGCGTGTGAAGGCCAGAACGAATTCGCAAAACGCACGGCACTTCTGGACACCCGTGTACGAATCGTCTACTGCGCTCACATTACCGACTGCTACACACACTCCTCTGCACGACAAGCCAATCGACATACTGTCAAATGGCCGCCCGCGAAGTGCTGTGAGCGAGTGTTTCGGGCAAGTCGCCCCGCGGTGATCCCGGCGTTGCCGCCTCCATTACTTCTGTGCATAAGCTCGCGGGCGCGCCGATCCCAGTGTAGAAATGGCCACTGGCGGTTCCTACGTAAAGTCTGGGGACGCAGCCGCCGTCGCAGAGAAACACGCGCTCGAGCTGAAGACGACCTTTCGTCTGGCCCTCCTATCCACCATCTGCGCGATTGGAATCAGGAGGTACGCAGGGCACTAAATGTTCTGATCCTTGGTCGTCGACCACGATTCTGTCATCGCGCTGGCCTGCCGACTCGTTGATGACGGCGTCGACCTCGAGCCAACCGTCAGATTGTCTAAGAGACCGCACTGCAGATGCGAAGCGACGGCTCACTTCATCACGGTGACATCGCATAACTCCTGCTCGAACCTGTCTCGCCGCGACTTATGGCCACCAGAGGGGGGTCTCACCACAGAAAAATCGATTTCTCCGCGGCAATCCCAGTCGGGCCTGGCAGGGCTCGGGGTCGGGCTCGGGGGCGCACTCGACGGGGGCGGAGTCGACGCTGCGGGAACGCTAGACATTGCCGCTGGCCCCAGAAGAGGGACCAGCGGCGAGAGGCAATCGAGCCGATAAGGCCTGACGGAAGAGAAAGAAGAGGAAAATGAGGATTGAAGGGAACGGTGAAGAAGGATGATGACGCGCAGGATGGGTGGAAGAATAGTATTGGTCATCGTCCCCATCATCACCATCACCATCATCACAATCATCACCAACACCATCGCCATCATCACCATCATCACCATCGTCATCATCTTCATCTTCCATCCGCAATGGGAAAACCCAGACAGACACACGCACACACCCCACACTCACACTTCGCACTCGCATTTCACAACACACTCGCCCTCACACACACACGCACCTCCTTCGATATCATGACTGATTTCTGCTCTGAAAGGAATGCCCTGCCCCCTATTCGACCTGGAATCGGCAATACACCGCCAATAGATCGGCGACAGGCCCCCGATACCGAATCTGCACATTCCTGGGTGGGGCAGGCTGTCGGACCCCCCTCGGCGATCAATGGGCGATTGGGGGCGATGCATCCTGGCCCATGAATCAGCTGGCTCTTGGGCCACAACTTGGGTCTCGGCACGATTCGGGCACCCGCGTAACGCTCTCGGCGAAGCGCAGCCGCTGAAGGCACCCCGAGGATGAAGAACCGACGAGAGCCGACAAAAAACAACCTCAGACCTCAAACATCAGACCCGAAAACCTCCAACCTCGAGCTCCTGAGCCTGTGGTGTCCGTTCCATGGGAGCCTACGATCTGAGCCTGATTGGACCGGATTTGGAAAACATCTGGGACCAGATTTTGAACGGCAGGATTCGCTGATTTCAGCATTGCCGGCCAAGGCTCCCATGAATGGACATCGATTTGAGCCACCCCCCAGCGCTGCCCCCGACCACTGGCGGCGCGCGCACGGGGGCATGGGGAGGGGTGAAGGCTACTTAAAGCAGGCTCCTTGTTAGAATAGGGGGAAAACAAACCTCCCTCGCTTTTGACCACCCTCGCTTCCAAGAGATACCAAACGATGCCAAATTGCAGCCTGTACTGGTCAGGCCGCTAGACGAGGAGGCGCGTGGTATGGCTTGGTTTCGCCTGGAAGCGAAAGCGGGGTAGGTAATTCACGCTCTGATAGAAGGCGCCGCCCCCAGACCTACAGATAAGGCCCGCGCACTTTAAGAGGCTGGGGTGCTTTGAAAAAGCCCCCCCTCCCCCTACCCCCCCCGAGCATGGCCGAGAAGGCTCCGACGAACGGACATCGAAGTGAGCCCGTCCCCCCTACAGTCACCCGCAAAACGAGGACGCACGATCCGGATGCAAGGGCCTCGGGAGGACCGACACCTTGTGAGCGGGGCGCGGCCAGCGAAAGCGGCCAAGGATGGGCCGACGGGGAAGGATGGGCCGAAGGGGAAGAGGGGGCCCCAAGGGGGAGATGGGCCGAAGGGGAAGGGTGGGCCGAAGGGAAAGTCGCTCGGCCTTGCTCTGCGGGCTGACCGTGGCGCTGCCCCCGCTGCGCCGTCCTTGTCCGCGCCTCTGCCGGGCTCCTGCGCGTGCAAGGGCACCCGCGGCCTGTGGACCCCGCGCTCGCGCGGCGGGGGGGGTGGTGGCGACGGCTCGCGAGTCCCTCCTCTCGAGGCGATCGACGTGGGTATGGAAGGAAGGGGCGCGAAGACCGACAGCTTCCGGATAAGCAAGCAAAGTACCCCTGCGGCTCTCCGACGCCCCAAGACGGCCCAGGAGGCCCCAGTAAACCGCCCCGAGACGGCCCGAGAGGCCTCCAAGAGGGCCCCAAGCCGGCCTAAGAGCGCCCCAAGACGGCCCAGGAGGCGCCCAAGACGGCCCGAAACGGCCCCGAAAAGGCCAACGAGAGGGAGCACAAACCGCAAGCCCGAGCCTTCCGCCCAAGGAGGTCCCCAGGAGGCCCCACGCCCGAGAGGTCCCCAGGAAGCCCGGCAGAGGCCCCAAAACTGCCCCCCCAAGAGGCCTCAAAACTGCCTCCAAGAGGCTCTCGAGAGCCCCCCACGAGATCCCAACGAACGTCCAAGATTCTCTATACCCATGGACCAGGCACGGTGGCGGAATGGGCCGAAGGCCGTTCGATAAAAGTACCCCTACCCCTTGGGAGGGGACCCGAGTTAGGAGGGCCAAGAACATCAGGGATAGGGGGTCTGCTGCAGATGTCTCCGACGGAGCCGCCCACATGTTTAAGGATATCCCTATCCCTAAACACCGAGGGCCTAAGTCAGGCCACGAACTCATGTTGCCGGTAAGGTTAAGAGTCGTGTTATGCTTGATGGATGTCCGGATCGTTTCGAACAGGACTCGCTGTCGGTGTCGCCGCGGGCGTGGTCGACTTGAGACACGGGGCAACCCGCCCAACAGCGGCCGCGGTTGGTGTTGGGCGACCTGTGTTGCTGGGCGTCGTATCCATTGTTCCACTGCCCATGTCGGGGGTCCGAAGCATCGCATCCCCGCGACACCAAGCCCATTCCCCGCCACAAGACATGTTTTGGCGCTGCAGTCGGGCTGCTGAAATACGGAATGACAAATAAGGAACGAAGACCCGTTTTGGCCGCAAAGGCGCTTGCGTCAACGAGGAGGGCTAGAGAAACAGCCAGGGAAGGAGCTAAGGAACATCGAGCCCCTTTAAAGCCCAACTTGTTCCTTATTTCAGCGCCTAGACCGTCTTTTGGGAGCAGGAGGAAGAACACCAAGGGGAATGATGGCGCGAAGGGCTCTCGAAACGACACCCGAGGCTCCGCGAACAAAACAAATCGACTGTAGGGTGAAGCTGCGCCCAAGTCAACCCACCCAGACTCGACAGAATCAGACGCCGACCCTTAGAGAGGCACCTCCTGCGGTACACAGAAAAACCCAATGCTTTCTTCGCGGTCACGCCCGTGCCCAACCCGCCCCTCCCCTCCATCCTCCCCCCCTGGTCACGTCACGAATCGCACCAACTCACGTCTGGAAACGAACCGTTCTTATGCAAACATAGATGGCACCAACGCGAATCGCGACGTGACCGTCTCCGTCTCCTCCTCTTCCCCAGTTGCACCCGCTATCACCAGGAAATGAACACACGGAGCCCGAGCTCAAATGTGTGCAATGAGGGGGAAGACGACGAGTAATCACACTATGAGCGTCGTAAAACACTGCGAGCGTCCTACGATATATCGTTGCCCAAGCGGTATGGCCAAGAAGCACCCACCGACGGGCAGCTAATCATTATAAGCTTTCTGAGCGCGCACAACGCCTATTGGAGGCCGATGCGCACGTATGCCGATTCTGGGAGGTCTTCGCAAGCAGGAACAAAAACAACCAGACCCGATAAAAAGGGGGCAACTGAGCGGGACGAGGCCGGCTTAAATCCAGGATTGCACAACCGCGCGGGACTAAGCCACATTAAGCGGAACTAAACAGGGTTATGCCAGATGGGTCCTGGTGTTCGACCACGGACCCAGAGATCCGATGTCGTGATTTGTTTCATTACGCGATCCCCAGAAATCTCGACCGTTTCCCCAGGACCGGTTCCTCGTCCTGAGCCGTTTTTTGACGGTCCCGGGGCTGGGCGAGGGCCCCTAGAGGCCAAAAATTAGGAAAAACCTCCGCCTTGATGTTTGTTTCAATACGCTGGATCTCTGGGGATGCATCAGCGCCGATGCTGAAGTGGACCTCCCAGGAATTGCCTCGTAAGTTGGGGGGCCAGCTCCGACTGGGGGAGGGGAAGCATCGAGCCAGACTACCAGCGATACATCGCCAACGGGTCGGCGATGTGGGCCCTCCTCCTCCTCCTCCTCCTCCTGCTGCTCCTCCTCCTCCTGATCCTGCTGCTGCTCCTCCATTTCCTCCTTCTCCTGCTCCTGCTCCTCCTCCTCCTCCTCCTGCTCCTCCGCCTCCTCCTCCTGCTTCTGCTCCTCCTCCCCCTCCTCCTCCTCCTCCTCCTCCTGCTCCTCCTCCTCCTCCTCTTCTTCCTCCTCCTCCTCCTCCTCCCACCTCTCCTCTTCGTCACCCATGCCGGCGCTCAGTGGGCGATCGTGGCCGATACGTCCGCCTCTCGCGGTGCCCCTGACCCGCCCCCCGCCCCCTCACTAGAAGAATAGAAACCACACAAACGTAAACTTGTTGGCGCTCCGCGCGGATTTCTTGGATCCGCGCCAGGGCCCCCCCTGCGGCGCCTCGGGCGCCGCCCCTGGCACGCCCCAGTCGGAATCCCGAGTCGAATCGGATCGGAATCGGAGGCCATCGACGTCGACTAGACTCGAATCGGAGGAATCGAAGTGAGCCCTGCGAGCCCGGAAGGCAAGGCGGAGGCGCCGCAGAGGCCGTGCATTAGGTCGGGCATAGCCCCGTACAGGCGGATTGCGGACGAAAAATGGAAAACATGCTTATTCAAAACTGTCAAATCGGCGGTGGACAAACCTCCCTTTAGTAAACCTCCGCTTAATGAAAACGGCCTAGGACCGAAACCGACGGACCTGGACCCGCAAAAATAACGGCCGTGACGCCCTCTCGCGAACCAAAAACGGCCAGTTCACTAGTCGACGTGTCAGGGTAGGAGATCTATCAACCTCCTATCAAACACATTCAAAGAATCGTCCCCAGACAATTTTTCACTACTTCTGAACATTCCACCTGTAGGCAGGCAGGAGCGAAGATCAGGAGCATGAGCGGGAGGAGGAGGGGGAGGAGTAGGAGAAGGAGGAGGAGGAGGAGGAGGAGGAGGAGGAGGAGGAGGAGGAGGAGGAGGAGGAGGGAGGAGGAGGAGGAGGAGGAGGAGGAGGAGAGGAGGAGGGAGGAAGAGGAGGAGGGAGGAGGCGCCGCAGAGGCCATATGCACCGGGCCTCCGCTCCGCGCCCCGGCCGGCGGGGGCGGCGCCGCACCTGCGGGGGGGCGGGCCGCTCTCCGGCCAGAGGCTCCGTCGCTGATCGGCGGCCGTCCTCCCTCCTCCCTCCTCCTCCTCCTCCTCCTCCTCCCTCCTCCTCCTCCTCCTCCTCCTCCGCTTTTCCCCCTCCTCCCTCCTCCCTCCTCCCTCCTCCTCCTCCCCTCCTCCTCCTCCTCCTCCTCCTCCGCCTCCGCCTCCGCCTCCTCCTCCTCCTCCCCCTCCTCCTCCTCCTCCTCCTCCTCCTCCTCCTCCTCCTCCGCCTCGTCCTCCTCCTCCTCCTCCTCCACCTCCTCTTCTTCTTCCTCCTCCTCCTCCTCCTCAGCGTCTGCGGCGAGCGAGGGGGGGAAGTGACAAGCAGGATGCCCCCTCAGGAGGCGCTGGGGCTTCCCAGAAGCCCTCGCATCCTCCGAGAAGTGTCTTAAGTGTCCTCGGGGAAAGCCCAGGAAATTTCTCCGAAGGCCGGGGGACTTCCGAGCCTTATGAGAAGGCCCGCCCCTTCTCACTTCCCCCCCTCGCTCGCCGTTGAGACGAGGGGGGGAGGAGGATGCGAAGAAGGAGGAGGGAGGATGGGGAAGGGACGCATTCTCATTTCCCCCCTTCGCTCGCCGCCGAGTTGAACCGACCCCTGTCCCCACAGAGCTCAGCATCGCCAAACACTTCATCTCAGAGCTTTCACGGGCAGCAGAGTCTATGCGTGGCGTGATGGTGTAAAGCTGTCCCACGGCCGTTTCACGTTTGCCAGTGCATCTATGACGGCGTCGTTATTATCATCCTTCTTCTTCTCCTTGTTATTCTTATTAATATGATTATGATTCGTTTTCTTCTTCGTCTTTTCATTATTTTCATTATTGATATTATCATTATGCTTTTTCCCCTTGTGCCCCCACAGGCGTGGCCTGGGCCCCACGGGCCGATTTACCCCCCCCCCCGATGGGGCTACGGGCAGCCTTTCCCTCGGCCCTCGGAGGGTAGATCCCGGACTGGGGTGCTCAGATCGTCGGGCTCGGGCTCGGGCTGGGCATGGGGCCTGGGGGCCCGTGAACCGACACTGAGAGCCCCGGCCCACCGGCGCCCTTCTCGGCGGAGCATGCGCGGGCTGCTCGCCGCCCCGCTCGGCCCCGGGGGCGCCCTCGCTGGGCCCCGTCTGGGGCCGTGGGGACACGAGGGGCAACCTCTGAGAGGGTTTCGTGGGAGCGATGAGCGGCTAGTGTGAAGTCGGGCGTGTCCCCCTACAGGGGGATCGTCGACGAGAAATTACAACAATCTTTAAAACAGTACTCCAGAATGGTCAAAGAACTACTCCAAAAAAAGCCCCTAGACTGTTTTTTGTCTCTCACTATTTTTGAATCTTCCTCCTGTAGAGGGACGGGCCCGACTTAATTAAGGCTAGTAAACCCGACTTCGGGACCATTAAGCCGCCGGATCAGCCCAGAAGAAGCCCAGGATTAAGCTGGAGTGGGCGGAATTTGACGGGGTTGGGCTGGAGTGGGCTCTGGCCTTGCAGAACCAGCACACGAACGATTCTGAACGACGATGCAGTACTCAACCTCCCAGGAGCTGGATCCCCAACAGGAACGACCTCGGGACGCAGAACGCTGGTCCTGGGGTGAAGTCGGGCGCGTCCCTCTGCAGTAGGAATATTCAGAAATAGTCAAAAGATAGTCTGGCGGCGAATTTGCTCGTCCAAAATCCCCTTGTAGGGGGACACGGCCGACTAAATCCGGGGAAGGGGTCGGGGCTTCCGGGGGGTGGGGGCGTTCTGACAGCAATCGAGAGGCGGGGCGTGGGACGCACGTGTCCGCCAACCGGCGGCCTCGAGGACCTGCTGACCCGGGGTCAATCCAAACCTGGGTCAGTCGGGCTTTGCACTAGGTCGAGATTGTCCCCCTATAGGGGGATCTTGGGCGAAAAATAGAGACACTCAAACAATACACCCAAAATGCTTTAAAATAGTCAAAAAATCGTCCCCAGACTGTTTTTTTGTTTTTACTATTTTTGAATGTTCCTCCTGTGGAGGGACGGGCCCGACTTAAGCTTTGCAGGATCTCGCAAGATGCTGCACGATCCTGCTCGCAAGCCTGGGCCAATGCTCGTCAGAGAGCCCGGGTCGGGCGTTGGCAAAGCTGGGTTTAGTGGAACCTGGTTTAGTGATTTATACCGGGGGCGCCCCCCCCCGTCCCATTTCCACCAATGCGGAACTGCCGTCACCCGAAAAACACCAGTTACGGCAAACCTGGTTTAGTGAATCTGGCCAATTGAGGGGCCCCAGGGCCCTACCACTAACCGGGTCCCCTTACCCGGGGTCCTGGCTATACCCGACCGGGGGGGAAGTGAAGGTTCGGACGTCCCCCGTGTGAGCGCCAAGAGGGCTCTCCAAGAGGACCAGCGGCATGGGCAGCCCCCTCTCCAGTGGCGCGGATTTGAGTTTCCCTCGGCCCTCCTCCTCCTCCCCATCCTCCTCCTCCTCCTCCTCCTCCTCCTCCTCCTCCGCCTCCTCCGCCTCCTCCTCCTCCTCCTCCTTCTCCTTCTCGTCCTCTTCCTCCTCCTCCTCCTCCTCCTCCTCCTCCTCCTCCTCCTCCTCCTCCTCCTCTCTCCAGTGGCGCGCATTTGCATATTCGCAGCCATGACGGGCGTTATGGGGGGGAGGGGGGGGGATCGGGAGGAGACACAACGTACCGCCGCCACCCCCCAGACTGTGGTGCCGGACTCACTGCCGCAGTGCTGGGGAAGCACCGAGGGGGAGAGCGCTGCGTTATGGGAGGGGGGTGGGGGGGGAGGATGGGGGGCATAACGCGCGTTATGGCCCAGAGGGTAAAAGACAATGTCCTGAGATCCGACGTCGACTGGAGCCATAGACCCCCATCATCCTGCGCCTTTTCTCGAGGCGTATCGAGACCTGTGCGGGCTCCAGGGCCCGACATCGGGCGCGAACGCCCGTGCCAACAAACAACTAATCCACCTCCCTTCGCCGGGGAGGCCGAAGCTGTACTGATACCGCTACTACTACGACACGTGTGTATCTATATGTATATTTGTGTATATATAAATATACGTACATACATACATACATACATACATACATACATACATACATACATACATACATACATACATACATACATACATACATACATACATACATACATACACACGAACACCTTCTGACGATGTTGCATGTACCTTCAGGGAGGGTGGCGGTGTATCAAGTCGCTGGCTCTCAACGGTAATCTATACGCCGCCGCCCTCCCCTGAGGCCCGGTAACACTCCATTGGAGGGTGCCTGTGTATCCGCCGGCCCCCTTGCGGGGCCACCAGGCTGTAGGCCTCCTGTACTAGTTGCAGCTTCCAGTTTCCACTGTTACAGTTCTGCTTCTTGCTGCTTACTGTTCCTTGTTGATCGACCGCGCGAGGGGGGGAGGCCCAAAATGGGCATTTTTACCACGCCCAGAGCGTGTGCTCTGAATTGCTGAGGTGGGTAAAAATTGGCACCCCTCACACAGATCGGCGGGGTCAGGGTCCAACAAAAACATAGGATTTGCCACATGTTTGACATTTGCTGGCACCCCTCACGCAGATCGGCGGGGTCAGGGTCCAACAGCACATGGGATTTGCCACATTTCTGAAAGTTGCTGGCACCCCTCACGCAGATCGGCGGGGTCAGGGTCCAAAAAAGCATAGGATGTGCCACATGTCTGACATTTGCTAGCACTCCTCACGCAGATCGGCGGGGTCAGGGTCCAAAAACACATGGGATGTGCCACATTTCTAAAAATTGCTGGCACCCTCACGCAGATCGGCGGGGTCAGGGTCCAAAAAAACATGGGATTTTCCACATTTCTCAAATTTGCTCGCACCCCTCACGCAGATCGGCGGGGTCAGGGTCTAAAAACATTAAGGATTTGCTACATTTCTGAAATTCGGTGGCACCCCTCACGCAGATCGGCGGGGTCAGGGTCCAAAAACACATTGGATCTGCTACATTTCTGAAAGTTGCTGGCACCCCTCACGCAGATCAGCGGGGTCAGTCCAAAAACACAGGGGAGTTGCCACATGTCTGATATTCGGGAGCACCCCTCACGCAGATCCGTAGGGTCAGGGTCCAAACACAAACAGGTCCTGACACTGCTTCACGGCGGCGCCCAGACCTTATGATTTAGCTTTTGCATCTCCCATTATCCGAGACAAGGGGCCGGCGGCATGGGGCGAAGCCCTTACGGATATTTTGTTGCGGCGGTACTACCCGAACGTGTCCCAGGGTGCGTTCTGACTGTCGATGGAGGAAGAAAAAGCAACATAAACATAAACATTCGACGGTCCGCGCGGATTTCTTGGATCTGCGCTGGGGCTCCTAAATGGGATCCAAGTAGATGGGTTCGAAGGATCGCGCCGCATCGCCAGTGCATCGCCGATGCATCGGCGACGTCGGCGTGGGGAGGCACAAGCTCCACATCGAGCCGCATCGTCGATGCATCGGCGATGCGGCGCGATCCTGCGCCCCCACCTGCCCGGGCCCCCTCTGGGAGGCCTAGGCTCATGTTGCTCCCATCGTACTTAAAGACCACCTTCCAGAAAGAATTTCGAGCACCCGGAAAAGTCCCGAAAAGGTGTCGAGACGGTGTCGAAACAGCGTCGGGCGAGTGTCTCCCAGGGCCCGACGCGTGAAAACCCTCGAGTCTCGGTACTTTTTCCTGGTGGTCGAAATTCTGGTGATCAAGCCTAAAATAGGTTGGACCATCATAAGCCTAGTTGCACGCCCGAAACGGGTACGGAAACCATGGGTCCAATGCCCAACAGCGGCCGCTGTTGGGTAGGCGGCCTTCTGTCTCAAATGGACACAGGCCGCGGCGACACCGACAGCGAGTCCTGTTCAAAATGAACAGGAACTGCTGCTGGGCATTGTGCCCATTCTTTCCGTACCCACTTCGGTCACGCCGATAGACCCCCGCGGCGGCTCGCGCGCCAGGCTCTCCCGGCCGCCACGCACGCGGCGGCCACGGCCGCGGCGAGCAGCGCCGCGCAGCGGCGCCGGCGGGCCCGGGGCGGGGCCTCCCCTCCCGACGCCGCCGCCGCCGCTGGCGACGTCGACGACGACGACGACGACGACGACGACGACGACGACGACGACCGACGACGACGGCGACGACGACCGAAGGCGGCGGCGGCGGCGACGAAACCTCAAGGTCAGGGATTGTGGTTGCCATACCCCCTGCGAAAGCCAGCGCGATCTCTCGATCTCTTCGGGGCAGAGCCCCGAGGCCCCGCCCTCCCGACGCCGCCGCCGCCGCTGGCGACGTCGACGACGCTGACGACGACGACGACGGCGACGACGACAGCGACGACGACGACGGCGGCGACGCCGACGACGGCGACGGCGGCGGCGACGACGCAGACGGCGACGGCGGCGCCGACGCCGACGCCGACGACGCCGCCCCGCCAGGGCCCCCCAAATCTCGGGCAGGACGGAGCCGTGAGCACGGAGGGTAGGCGATCGGTCCTCGCGGCCACGCTCGGCCAACGCGTCCTCTTTTGTGGCCTCTGCCCGCATCGCAACGAGACCAGCCGAGCAGAGCGAACAAGTCCTCTGGTCCGTACGGCGGGGGAGCGCAGAAAGATGAAGGGGCCCTGAGACACACAAATAAATACATACAATTTCGCCGGCCCAACGGGCCAGGGCGTGCTGAGATCTCCGGTAACAGGTAAACAGTATTTCTAGTTCGCGCGCGCGGGGTGGCCCCTAGGAGTCCCCCGCGGGCGAAAAGTACCCCGGCAGGACCCCGGCAGGGTGGGGGCCAGAGATGCCGGACTTCCTGGGCGCGGCCCTGGAGGCCTCTGGAGCGCTCCAGGAGCGCTCCAAGGAGACGCCAAATATGTGGCAGGCCCAGCAGCCTGAAGCCAAGAGCGCCCCAAGACGGCCCAGATGGCCTCAAGACGGCCCAAGATGCTCCCGAGACGCCCCAAGATGCGTCCAAGAGACCTCCCAAGAGGCCCCCAAGAAGCCAAAACTTATGATTTTCATTACTTTTTATAGGATTTTGGCGTGCTCGCCTCTTCGGCTTCCTAGCGCTCCAAGACGGCCCAAAAAGCCCTCAATATCGCCCCCATACGGCCTACGAGGGTTCAAGACCGTTCCAAAACGACCCCAGAGGGCCCTAAGAGACCCCCAGAAACCTCCAAGATGGCCCAAGATGCCCCCAAGACGGCTCCAAAACAGGGCCCCGACGGGGGGCCGGAACGGACATTTCGCGCTCTAAGCCGCAAGACGTCCCCAGGAGACCTCATAACGCCCCCAAGAGGCCTCAAGACGGCCCAAGATGCTCCCAAAACGCCCCAAGATGCGTCCAAGAGACCTCCCAAGAGGCCCCCATATGTTTTTTGAGGATTTTGGCGTTCTCGCCTCTTCGGCATACTAGCGCTCCAAGACGGCCCACAAAGCCCTCAAGATCGCCCCAATACGGCCTACGAGGGTTCAAGACCGTTCCGAAACGACCCCAGAGAGCCCTAAGAGACCCCCAGAAACCTCCAAGATGGCCCAAGATGCCTCCAAGACGGCTCCAAGACCGGGCCCCGACGGGGGACCAGAACAGACATTTCGCGCTCTAAGCCACAAGACGTCCCCAGGAGACCACATAACGCCCCCAAGAGGCCCCCGAGAGGCCCCAAGAGGCCCCCAACCGGCCCAAAGAGGCCCCCAGGAGGCCCCAGGAGGCTCTAGAAATACTGCCAAGAGGCCCTCGAGAGGCTTCCCAAGAGACCCCAAACGGCCTCTAAAAAACGCGTCTTGTCCACGACTAAACTTGGCTCCCAAATGTCCCCCTCCTCCTCCTCCTTCTCGCTCGGCACGAGCACGCCAACAGAAAGCACAATTGATACAAGATTTTCCCCGCCTCCCTCCTCCTCCTTTTCGCTCGCCACGAGCTTCCAGACCGCGCCAAACCACCATCCGCGAGCCCCACGAGAGCAGACGATGGCGCCACAAACCACTGACAGCCGCAAACGTCGAACCAACTACACCGGACTGGTGCACCCACCACCGAAAACAACGTCCCCCCCCCCCCATCAGCGCAGCATGGCTCACGGACGCGCAGCCAAACCCCAGCGATTACGCATTATGGGCCGGCGGAATGAGCGAAGCGATTAAATAAAAAGATTATCCCGGCAAAGCAACCTAACAGCGATGTGTAGGAGCATATCTGGAAGCATTCCCCTTAAGATTCAGATGAGAATCCAGTTGTAGAATTGTGCTGTTCTCGCAGTCGTAGTCGCATTCGCGATGACAGTCGCAGTGGCAACGGCAGTCACAGACACAGCCTCAGCCTCAGCCTGCCTCAGCCTCAGCCTCAGCCTGCCTCAGCCTCAGCCTGCCTCAGCCTCAGCCTCAGCCTGCTTCAGCCTCAGCCTCAGTCTGCCTTCAGCCTCGGCGTCAGCCTCAGGCTGCCTCAGCCTCAGCCTGCATCAGCCTCAGCCTCAGCCTCAGCCTGCCTCAGCATCAGCCTGCCTCAGCCTCAGCCTCAGCCTGCCTTAGCATTCAAAATGTGGCCCGGGAATTAAGTTCTGGGAACTCGAAGACCACGAAGTGGCCTACAGTTGGTTCCGGGCATTCAATTCATGCCCAGGAATGGAGTTCTGGGAACTCGAAGACCACGAAGTGGCCTACAGTTGGCTCCGGGCATCCAAAATCTGCCCGGGAATGGAGTTCTGGGAACTCGAAGACCACGAAATGGCCTACAGTTGGCTCCGGGCATCCAAAATCTGGCCCGGGAATGGAGTTCTGGGAACTCGAAGAGCACGAAGTGGCCTACAGTTGGCTCCGGGCATTCAAAATGTGGCCCGGGAATGGAGTTCTGGGGACTCGAAGACCACGAAGTGGCCTACAGTTGGCTCCGGGCATTCAAAATGTGGCCCGGGAATGGCGTTCTGGGAGGTCAAGGAGCACCAAGTGTGTGACTGTTGCATCCGGTTATTCAGAATGTGGCCTGGGAATGGGGTTCTGAGAGGTCGACGAGCACGAAGTGTGTGACTGTTGGTGAAAAACGAGCCCGGCACAGGCCCGGCCGGCAACTCCCAACGCCTGCCCGGACCCCCCTGTGGAGTGATCTGTGAGCTCTTTTGAGTCAACTAGAAACCTATCAGTCTACGCTGTTAGGTAATTACAATTTTTCCCATATTTTCTGGGTTTCTGTTTTCCCCCCCACTGCCCGTATTTTCCCATATTTTCTGGGGAATCGACGATTCATTGCGTCTCTGTGTTTTCTCCTCCTGAGAGGAGCCCGGCGGCACGGCGAATGGACAACGACAGGCGAAGGGACGACCACGACGGGGAAGCCGCGGGCAGGGCGAGCGGGGCGAGCGGGGAGAGGGGGAGAAGGCCCTAGCTGGGTGCGCTCGCGCCAGACCTGACGCCCTACCCCTCCCCGCCACCCCTTACCATGTAGATATCCTCTCTGTTCCGAACAGAGAGGAGATCTACGAGCGGCACGACGAGTTGACAAAGGCCCTCTGCTCTCTGACCTGTTCAGCTTCAGGTTTTGTTCTCCCTGCCCTGCTCGGCAACCGGCTGTGCGAACAGACTGTTCGCACAGCCGGCTGTCGAGCAGGGCAGTGATCGCGAGAGCCGGCCCGCGCCGGGGCCAGCAGGCCCGGGTGCGGGCCGGCGCGCAGACCAGCAGGTACGCCGGCACGCACCCGGACCAGGTAGGCCATCGGCGCGAAATGTCCACCAGCGCTTCAGGGCGTGAGTGGTTTAGCGAGGTTCCTCCTCCAAACCCCCTTTCTTCTCCTTCGGGGAGGGTTCTGCCTCTGCCCCTTCCCCCCTCCCCCTTGGTCCGGAGGGGGCGTTCCGCGAGGGGTTGGAGCGTCGGAGATGGCCTCGGCGAGGAAGCCCAAATCACTGGCTTTAAGAAGGTTTTGGCCACATGTTGGCCTTCTGGGGCGGGGGGCCCTAGTTAGGGAGCGCCTCTCCTTTGATCCATCTCCTCCAAGATGGCCCAAAGATAGTCCCCAAGGCTCCCAAGCGTGCCCCAAGATGGCCCCAGGGTCATGAAAATCAATGTGTCCTGCGAGATTCTTCGCTACTTTCTTTGGGGGGTGTCAAAAACCCGTGTGATGACAGACCGCGGGGTGACCTCGGAATCCCAAGAGACCTCACCGCGCGGTCCTGAGACCTTGGAGGCCCCTGACGCCCGAGACGTCCTCGGAGAACGACCCGAGTCCCAAAACCGTGGGGTGACCCCGAATCCCCTCTGACTCACCACGTGCTGTGGTCACCAGACCCCGTTTGGAGACACCCGATTTTCGACCCCTGTGGCCCTCCAAGGGCCCCGTGACCGTCCAAAAACGACTCGGGACGAAAAAGTGGTCGTCGGGAGCGGCAAAGAGGGGGGTATCCAAGAGGGGGGGGGGCGCAAATCATGCCCGGCGGCATGTGCGCGGCCAAGCGGGAGGGCCAGGGACGTAATGAAATAAGAAGAGGAGGCGCCATGAAATCTGGGGAGATATCATGGCCCACGCCATGATATCCCCCCCCCCCTAGTCACCACCCCCCTCTTTTCCGCCCCCGACCTCTCCTTGATCGCGGAGCCAGGGCCGGGACAAAATCGGACACGGACAGATCGGGGATCCCTGCGACACGGCCGTTCCGGAGGACGTGCCGAGCATCAGGGCCGTTCCAGCGCGCTCCTGTACGATCTGCGAGCGTTCCAGCACGCTCGCAGATCGTACAGGAGCGACCGTCCCGGCATTCCTATAGTCCTACCACGAAGCGTTCTTAGAGCCCCAAAATGTCCTAAGAATAAGACAATGTTCTTAGAACATAAACCCGATTTGATAAAAACAAGACAGACTCGGCAAGAAATGTTGTAAGAACATTTCGTGGAAACCACAAAAGATTATTACAACAGTGTTTGGTAGGGCTATAGGCGAGCCAGGACGCTTCGCCACTGCTCGAACGCTCTGGCTGCGTCACCTCCGCCCGATCAGGCGCAAGGGACGTTCGGAAGTTTCTGGGGGGTCCTGCGGGAATTGTCGGGCACCTCGCCAAGGGCCTTTCGG